TTTTTAAGTGTAATGATGAAAAGCCTATAATAAAGGCAGCTATCACTTCGTAAATAGTGAGAATGAAGAAGTCTCGAAAAAAGGGTATGAATAGCAGAATCAATTTGAAAATGACACATGGGCAGAACATTAAATGAAAAAGACTGCTGAGACGTTAGTACTGTCATGAGTATTAATTGTGGCAAAAATTCCTTTTACATGAAGATCCACTTCCCAATTATTTAATTGATAAAAAAATGGAAAGTGGGGGACTATCTGTATTGGAAAAAAACTGAGTTTATATTAAAAGATGATGTGGCATGACACGTGGATTAGTTAAATGGTCAAAGCGCAGCAATTGACTAAGAGGCACGGATGGAAACAGCCACGGGAAGAAGAATTTAAATAGGCACGAGACGACGTATAGATACGAGTCTCGTACCAATTTAAATTATTTACAGCCAACGGATAGAAGGTATTGAAGGCAAAGATCTGGTGACAGAAAGGAGTCCAAATTCATTATTAAATACTTGATACGTTACGAAAGTGGTATTTAATAGGAATGATTGTATAACGGCTTATTTAATATCATTTATTACTCATGATTATATCATTAAAGCTGAGGCTTCATTCCTTTACCTAGAATTATCTATAAAAGGAAGAAGTATCATCATTTGTAAAGACACGGAATACTATTGAGAATTTATTGAAATACACATCTATTTGCTTCTTTACATCATTCTCAAAAGTATTTTATTTTTGTCTCCTGATTATCAGTAACCCAAATTTCTTTTTAGCTTTGACCAAAGACTCAAATTTTTGGTTAAACACGGTTCAGCCTCTAACAGCTTGTTTGGATGGTTGTTACGTATCGTTTCATAATGAATCATAACGTACTGTATTGTATTGTATTGCATCGTTTGATAAATATAATGTTTGGATAGATTGTATCGTTTGTCATCATTTCATGATATCACACACCAGCAATATGAAGAATAAACTTGCAATATTATAAAGAAAAATTATGATATAGAGTAAAATCTATATCTATTTAAAAGGAAAGAAGTCATCCCTAATATTTTGACAAGTGTTAGTGTCCATAAAATGCCATGTGGCAACTTTAGGACAAATTAGTTATTTTAGGTAAAATTAGTTTCTCTTTTTAAATTTTGAATTTGAAAACAATTAGTAATTGGGTATTCTATATTTTTTTTTTTAAAAAGCACGTTATTCTATATTTAAAAGAAGAAGAAGTAGTTTCTACGTTTCTTTTAAAAGATTAAATTTTTAATTTGAAAACAATTAGTAATTAGGTATTCTATATAATTTTTTTAAAAAAGCACGTTATTCTATATTTAAAAGAAGAAGAAGTAGTTTCTATGTTTCTTTTAAAAGAAAAACCCATTCCTATTAAATAGGTATATAGATATATTTTGAAACCTTACCCGCTGGCAATTGGGAACGCCATTTTCATCTCTTTGCCCTAAAAATTTCATCCTCCAAATTCGGCACCTCAATCACACGATGTCTTACCACGATATCAACTCCTTATCCACGAACTCTTCTGCCCACGATTCCAGTAACATGATTTCACGGTTTTATCAAATTAGTTCTACTTTTACAGTATATAGTTCTTTTCTTTCTCCATCGGGTGCATATCAAACAATAATTTTATACTACAAGAGGTGATTGGTATGATTTGTATTTCATGAACGATCTTTATTCCAGTTGAGATTGTATTCCTTTAACACATAGTTTCCGTGAAGTTTTAGTTTCTACTTATATTTACACATACCTCTGTCTATTTTCAGGATATAATGGTGTCTGAAATCAATTTCATTAGTGAAATTAACAGCAAATTAATGAATTGGAAGTTAAAGGTTCGTATTGTGAGGCTTTGGAAAAATCCGGACCGCGACAGGCCTGACAACCCCTTTTCCATTGAGATTGTTCTGATGAATGAAAAGGTATTGTTTAAAACATTATAATTACTTTCCATTTATCATTGTTTACATATGCCGTAAGTATATTACAGTCGTATACGGAATAACTTAGTCATTTTAACTAATTGAGTTTTTTTGTAGGGCGACCGCATTCACGCAAGTATTGGCAGGTCTTTTATTCAAAGGTTCAAACAAGAAATTGAGGAAATGGGTTTGTACCTCATGAACAATTTTGTGGTTTGTTCAAATAATATGAAGCTTAAGACCAAAGACCACAAGTTTAAGTTGATGTTCACGCATAAGACCACTGTTGACGAAATACATGATCCACAATTCAACATGTGTATTTTCAAATTTAGAACCTATGAGCAGCTGTCAAATCCCCAAGAATTTGACAATACTGAGTTATTTGGTAATTAAATTTCTCTCATTTTTTCCACTTTCATTTTACTTTGCCTTATTTGTTCTCTATCTTATGAATTCTAAGTGTGAATTAAATTAATACTAATCATAGTACATAACATTAAAGATTAAGTTTTAGTTAAAGCTGAATTTCTTGATATTGTTAAATCATCTGTCGAAAATCATAATCTAATTTCTAGAAGGCCTTTGTAGGCGTAAGGAACTAAATAAAGGTCAATATTGTACTATTTCTTTGAACATCTCTATTACAGGTGTATAGTCTTGGTACTACTTTATATAGTATTTACAGAGAGTTTTTCAGTGGTTTTATGAAGGCCTAAGGTTAGCTTTTGATCTCTTATTCCATAGGTAGCTGATGGAGTTCATGCCTACAGTTTACTTTGCATTCTCTGAAACCTTCCCTTTTCACAAAACTCATAAAAATTGATACATGTTGCCTCTGGAATATACATCTAAGTATTTAATTCCTTTACAATCTTCATTTATATTATCTATAATGATTACTAATTTTGCACATATTTCCTTGCTTTGTAGATGTCATTGGCGAAGTTGTGAGTTATGAGGACGTACAATCTATCAAGCAAGATGATAACATCCGTATGTACATGAATATTGAGATACAAGATTATGAGCAAGCTAGCCACAATTTATTCAACTAAGTAAACATTTCAACAATTCTTTATTTTGATTCCTATGCTTAACCTTATAATAATTGTAGGAGTAACAACATTTCTGCAACTCTTTGGGGAGACTTTGTGGAACAGATTAAGCCATATTTGAATGGATCCAATGATAAGCCTGTTGTCGTCGTCATGCAATTGGTTAGAGCACATCGATTTCGAGGTTATTAAATTGTCTACTTACTTTGCAATACAATATCTCTATACAATTAGTAAACTCTTAAAAATTACTTTTAAGCGTGCAGAACAATATTCGGTGAGGAACACTTGGCATGCGTCGAAGCTTTGGATCAATTCAAATCTTCCTCAAGTTGTTGACTTTTGCTCCAGGTCTCTATAAGTTGGGCTAAATTTAAGTCTATTTCATCCTAAATTTTAGTCTTACAATTTATTAACGTATCTCAAGTTAAAAAATGAAACAGAATGGTTTCTGTGCGTAGAGAAAGCTCACAAAGAATTACTCAAATTTCATCTCAGAAAACTCACTCTGTTGCTAATAAGCTAGCATCTGGAAGTATTGAAGTTAAAAATGTTGAGGATTTGAGTGACTGTAACCATGTGAGTACCTACTTTTTATTTTATTTTTTTACTTTTTAATTACTTATCTCATCTTTCTCTACATAACAATTGTATATACAATTTTTATGAGCAGCTAGGAAATTATTGGGTTGTAGCAACTATTATACACGTTGAATTAGACCGTGGATGGTGCTATTTAGCATGCAAAAATTGCTCAAAGAAACTAGAAAAAGCGGGGAATAAATTCTATTGTAAAAAATGCGAGCAGATTCAATCTGCCACTCATAGGTATGACTGTAATTTATACTTTCTTTACTATTATATGATTTTAAAAATACAAACTCTTTCCAGGTACAGGCTACAAGTTAAAGTGATGGATTGCACCGGCACAATTTCTTTGCTGTTATGGGATAAGGATGCAACTAAGATTATCGGAAAGTCAGCAAATGATTTAAAGGATGTTGTATTTGAGGTATAATACAATTGCTTAGAAAAATAAGACCATCAACGTTGAAAGAAGTGGTACCTGATCCATTCCCCTGCATCTCCTTCCCGTTTTATTGATGGGGTAGTTCACTTTGTGTCTATATGCATATGAGGACTGATGTACTTGAAAGAACTTTAAGTTAACCAAACGTCAAAGTTCTTTTAAGTTTAAGTTACAAAGTGATTAAGATATGATTTTTAAATTTCAAATAAACTTATTACTAAATCTGTATGCCTTTGCTCTTATTAGTTTTACTTGAGAAGTTTGAACTTTGAAAGTATGACAATATTTCTCTGTTTTTTGGTGTCCTTGAGTTTCGCTAAAGTTAAGATATTGTAGTTAAGGTTAAGTTCTATTTTTAACTTACCCCTAAAGTTTCATTTTGTTTTGAAGTTCTTTAAAATCTAGGTTTGTTCTTTTGCAGCTAAACACATAAAAAACAACATAGACTCAAGCAAATCTACTTTTGTTTACAAGTATTTTATGAAATCTAGAATAATTTTGACATTAACACTACCTATTCAATCTTTATAAGATAGTGATTAACAAACATTAAGAAAAAATGGTTCCATCTCTGATGACGATGTTGCTGAATTTGAGGTTACAAAATATTATTAAAATGGTTGGAGTTTGGCGACAAAATTCAGGAATTGTTAATGAACAAAGAGGCATTTTGCATAAGAAAACTTATGCTTTCATTTTAGTTTCCCATCTTCTACTTTAGTCTTTTTATATTAATAGCTTTATTTAGTGTATTATTCCTCGCATTTAGCTTATGCTTAAAAACACAGTTACTATGAGAATTGAAGCATCGTCTTTTTCACAATATTCTTATAAGGAACAAACAAAATGATTACATTTACTTTTTACTTTTGTTGTTGTAGCTTCTATTAACCACAATCATTATGTCTTTTTGTTAGACTTCTGGTGCTGCAGACGACTCTTCATGTCCAATGGAGATAGAAAATATTGTTGAAAAAGGGTCATGTTTAAAGTTGAGGTTAACAGTTCCAACAATCAGAATAAAGATGTAGTCTTAAGAGTTGTTACACTTACTGACGACGAGAAAATTATAAAGAAATATATTCCTTCTCCACAAGAAGAGACGTTCAAAGTATGTTTCTATACTCAATTTTTATCAGTTTTCCTATTTGTGATTGCATTAATTTTAATTATGATAGACATTTCTTTGTAGGATCCAGATTTCAATAACAACGAAGTCATTCAGGAAGATAACGAAATTACGGTGATTTTACAACTCATTATAAATATTATTTTACATAATTCATTCTTTTAATTTAATGATTTGCAAGTTATAAAATAATAAAGCAACAACAACTTTAGATTAAGTATTGATTTTCACATGTTTTTGTGTTTTAAATATGTAGGATTCTACTGAAGATAATGAGTTGATCGATGTTGCACATACATCTGCCAAGATAGGTTTAACTAATTTTGTAGCAGTGGTTGAAGAAGATTCGAATGCACAGTTATCGGGAAATAAGATCAAGAGAGTATTTAAAAAGAAGAAGATAACATAAGTTGTTTGCATATGTACGAGTTGTAGAAACTAAGAACTGTCTTATTAGTTAGTTTATTAGTTTTATTAGTTATGAACAACATGTTTGAATCATTTCATGTTTTTCTTGGTATTGAACTTTTCCTGTTTAGTTAGTTTGGTATTTTCATTTGCTATGGACAAGATATTTGAATCAGTTCATGGTTATTTCAGTTGTTAAAATTTTCCTATATAGATACGTAAGACAGTCCGCAATCTTGAATTAATGTTAGTTAAATTATCTTATTTTGTTGATAGATTTTTACGTTAATCATTGATAGCTTGCATCTTCCTCCAGGGATGGATCATAAAGTTAGTTGACGAACATTTCAACTACATGACTGAACTACTTTCCATAAAGTGCTAAGTTTGCTGAAATATTAATAATAATTTTACATGACTCGAAAGAAGGAACAAATTTATTCTCTTCATGACAGGTATATTTTCTTAGGTCGGGTGAGAGCATTGGAGTCGTTACAATCAGTATCGATCTTAAGGCTACTGGATCTAAATTGTATTTAGTAGTTTTAATTATTTTGCTATTACTTGATAGGACCATATTTTGTAAAATCAACTTAGAGTTAGAGATACTCTAAGTTCGTCATGACACCAAGAACAATTGTGGTGGAAATAGGAGAATCTGTTTCAAGAAATTCAATGGCAGCACATGTATACAACAACGAGCCAGGCCAATAGCTTGAATGAGGGTAAAAGTAAAGATAGTGCCTTTTTTGCATTCACAGTTGCTTATTTTATTCATCCAAAATACAAAACACCAAGAAAAAATATTTATCATATTTAAACCACATAAATGAACAAAATGTAACCTTTTCTTTTGGATAGGCAACTAAGAATCGTAACAATTGACCTTAAGACAACATAATGGACACATAGATTCAAAATAAAACTAGCCAAACTCTTAATTGAGCACAAGGCATCACTTTGATCGACCATCCTATCATAATCAGAAAGAGGGCTGATCTTCGACTTTCAGTTGTTGAATTTGGTATTGCTATGTTTCGATGAATTGAGGATCCAAAAAAAGGGTGGCATATTGGTTAGTAAGACGAAGCCAAAGGAATTGACTTACAAAGTTTTGGGAACTAAACTGTTATCGTGCAGAAAACTATATAAGATCAGTATAAGAATTGACAATCATTACTAATATAGAATGATCAATAGACGATAAACCTTTTTAATGGCACTATCAATCAACATCGATGAGTCCATTATTGTCTTAACATTAAGTTGACATCCAAAAGCAGTAGCAAAGAGCCAAAAACCGCAATGCGCAGATTGTAAACATATTATAGATAACAAAATTTCATGTGAAAAATCTGAAACAAATCATATCTTTTGTGATTGTTTATGAAAGGATAAGTGTTATTTTTTATTTTTTATTCTAATAAGCAAGTTATTTAGAAGGCCACTAATATTATGTAATTTTTAATTAAGGGGTTATATAGATAGATAAGGGAGAAAACGAATAGTCAATGATTTCTTCTATGAGTCTACATGAATTTAATTTCTTTTCCTAAATTTTAATTATAAAAGTTATGGTTATTGTCCTTTATTTATGATGTAAAGATTTTTTTTGCACAGATAGAGCAAACAAAAACTGCTTCTAATATTCATTAATAGTTAATTCCACAGAGGCTACAACTAGCAGTTAAAGAGTCATAAACCGTTTCCTAATTCTCAACGTAAGTTTATCTTTTTTGGAATTTCTACTTTCCGTCTTAGAATAACGATCATCAATACAATTCATCTTTCTTCTAAAGTCTTTCAAAATGGCATACTAAATCCAGCTTCTCAGATCCTTCTCCATAAAAAATCAAAAAATTCCACTTTCTATACCAAGCAAATACACGATACAGAATCAGAAAAGGCGCAAAAAAACCTTTGTTACCAAAGGTATGTTCTTTGATTAGCATTATCATATCTGAAATACTTTTTATATTTTTTTTATTGCAAGCTTATAAGTAGTAAGATCAAATATAGAAAAAAAATTTATAATCTCTGATCAATTTGTAGATAAATGGGGTAAAAACATAATTTTGGCGATGATTATGGTATATAAAATTCTGGTTTAAGTTATGAAGTCTTTATAGTGAAACATCTACTGTAAAAGAGTAGATAGAAGTATTCATATAAATTTAACTTCTAAAAGGACTTGACAACATGAAGTTGGTTGAAGAAGTTCAACAGTAATCGAGTTCTAACGTTTGCATTTCAATAGTTGCAAACTACAGAAGGGAGTGGAACTATAGTGTTAGGTTATTTCTACTCCATATTCATGTACTGAGACTAAATTTTAAGATAATTGATTTATTCTTGAATTTATATCCAAAATCATGCATTCCTTCGGACTCGTGTGCTAGATGCGCTAGCAATTTTTGCTGGTCTTTGAGGAAATCTTGATCATCTAAATATCTGCTTAAGTTTATTTTGTCGCCAAATTTCTTTTCCTATCATCTTCTACCTTGTGTAATTTATAATTACTCTGAATTTTAGCATCTGTTATTTTATAAGATTATAGATTTTCTAATAATAATCTTCTGGTACCTTCAATTTTTGTGCTTCATTCTGTTATTGATGTGAGAATACATAAAAATAATTTAGTCCGAAGGATGAAAAACATGTGGTTCAAAGGAAGAAAAGGGTTAGAGGTACCGGTTCAACAAGAACNTTCATTCTGTTTTGATGTGAGAATACATAAAAATAATTTAGTCCGAAGGATGAAAAACATGTGGTTCAAAGGAAGAAAAGGGTTAGAGGTACCGGTTCAACAAGAACAGCTAAAAGGGACGAAAAATTTATATAGCTTATATTTTGTTAGTTCTCTGTTTCACTGATCATTAGGAAAGTTGTGCATATTATTGCCTCTGAAGTTTCCTCCTTCAAAATTCTGCATTTTATATTTTTATATTTTACTAAAATTTATTCTTATTTGAATGTTTGGTTTAGTTAATTATTAGTTATATAACTAATAATGCATATTAAATATTATTTTGTAGACATGAGAATACATCATATTGAACCTTCCAATAATACAAACTATTCTGTCGGAAGTGAAGAAAGAGTTCCTCCTTTGTCCGATATAACAAATGGTGAGTGAAAATATCACCTATTTAATATATTAGTTGTGTTGTTACAACTTACTTTATCATAATTTATTCTTATTATAATGTTTGTCCAAGTTGATTAATAGTTCTACAACTAATGATGCATATAAAACTCATTGTGCAGACATGCAAATAAATTATCTTCTCCCCGATTTAAATACAATTCCTATATGGCAAGGTTAGTTCCTCAATGGTGTTCTCTATTTAACACCTTTATTGTATACATTTTTTGTTGACTTATTTTATTCTATCTGTATTACTTTTAAAATTATACATTCTCATCATAGGTGCGCACAGTGACAACATATTGCCTGATTTAAATGACACTCCAACTGAAAAAGGTATTGAAAGTTTGATTCTCATATTAATTTTTCGTCTAAAGTATATCAAAAGTTAAAAAAATTATTATTTAATAGGAACTCTTTCAATTAATACTAACAATCCTACTACATTGTAGATGTGCAAATGCATAATTCTCTGCCAGATTTAAATGAAACTCCAATAATGCAAGGTAAGCATTTGAAATTCATATTGTTATTAGTTAAAAGTAAAATACAATGTTAAGATTAATGAAAATTAAATACTGCAACTCTCTTACTAGAAATCGGGGCTGCAATAAACAACACTGTCATTCTGTATGTTTCTATGAGATATTGGTTTACCTTTAAATAATGACCTTATACTAGATGTGGCTATATGAATCTAAAGTTACTTAATTGACTATCTTCAAGAGAAATATTTTGACATTGTTTCAAGTTCTAACACCCGAAATATAGGAACTATTTTTTTTCAGAATGATAGTATACTAAGAAGTAAATTGGCAACTAAAAGTTGTAAGTTTAGGAGTATATGTCAAAATATTGTACGTTAACGCACTGTATCATCTTGATGTAATAATGGAGATTGTTGAGTTGTCTTTACCAATACTTGAATTATGGATTCAACTTGCACGTCTCGTCCTCTAATGTTTATGAATCGTAGTAAATTAAAAAGAATGGCAGTGTTCCATTGAAGTCTTAACTGACTAGAAAACTTAGTATGTCTGTATAGACTACAAGTAGAGTGTGCAATAAAGGGAAGCTTCTCTAGGAGAGCCTATGGATGATCAGGGGAGTAGAAGTAGGAGTAGTAATAGTCTTAGATCAATATACACTTACAAATTATACATGTAACAGGGCAGTTGCCAAATAACATAGGATATGAAGATGATGAAGAGTATCCAGGTATGACAACCATATCTTTGCACTTTTCTGTTATTATTAAAGAAAGAATCTATATTCACAAACATAGATGTATATATTAATAATCCATCCCTATTAATTGATTTAACTAATACTTTTCTTAGATGTGGATGTTGAATGTGACGAAATTTACACTGAAGGTACTTATCAGATACTCCTTATTCACTCAATGTAGTTGGATAAAATAAATCAATAATCTCTGTCTTTGACTTTGTATATTATTGCAAGTATAGATTACTGGGACATAGGAGATGCTACATATGAATGCGAAAAGTGCGGTGCTCTTTTTTGGTATGAAGAAAGAATCCGCAAGCATTACAACTCAAAAAAACCTATTTTCACAATGTGTTGTGATCGTGGAAAAATAAAGCTTCTAGATCTTAAGA